AATTCCATTAGCGTGCTTTGGTTTATTTTTTGTGTCATCGTCACCTGAGTGCAACAATCTTCTTTTTCAAAACACTCCAAGCTGTTATAATGCTGTTAAACACCACCTTTAAACTGCATTTTTTTTTATCACATTAGGAGATCCAAATTGGCTATGTGTGAGCTCCTAAGCAATCAAAAGATTAACATTTATAAAATAAAATTACATTTGAATGCAACAAAAATTCCTTAATTGTGTTATATGCAGAAAAACACTTTGATAAATGCTCTGAATTTCACACTGTGACCCTAACACTGCTCATTTCTCCCTCCTGCAGAACGTCCAGCTGCAGCAGGAAAACTCTGAGCTGAGGCAGAGGCTGCAGAGGCTGCAGAGCGGGCAGGAGCAGACTGAATTTGTCCAGCAGGCCATCAAAGACCGAGATGAAGCCATAGCCAGGTAAAACATTTTCGCCCTGAATATTCTCAATGAAAATAATAAAAAATCCAATATATGCAGCTATCATACTTGCTATTATAATTCTGCAATGTTTAGTTTGAACAATAAGAACAAATCAATGAATTTCTGTCCGGCAAATGTATGTTTTAAAACAAAAATAGAGACATAATTTAAAGTTTTCCTTTAGAAAGCTGCTCTTGAATTGATTATTGTTGGTGACAGTGATGTGACTGAAGGGGTTTCTTGATTTTCTTTGTAGGAAAAACCTGATGGAGGCAGAGTTGGTCAGAAGTAAAAATGACATGATATCTCTGAACAACCAGTTATTAGAGGCCATCCAACGTAAACTGGAGCTGTCGCAGGAGCTGGAGGCCTGGCAGGTGAGATCCCTTTCTGTCTTTCAAACTCTCTTGTCCATCCCATTCAGTCTACTCTCCCCAAAAGAATATTAAACCATCTCCTTCTGAGCCCTTTTGTTTCTCACCAACTGCCTGTCAGATCTGTCAGAGAAACCTTTTGCTTATGAAAAGCATAAATATGAATATAAGTACATTAAATTAACACCTTTCAAGATCAAAATCATACGTTATGTTGTATACAGCAGACGCATGATGTCCTCAGTGGGAGGTCAGTGAAAGACGCAGCTGTTTCTCTCTCAGCTCGGTCAGTTTGGAGGAAAATGAGCGGCAGGTGTTTCTGTCAGCGTCTCCTCCTGCTGCTGAGTCACTATGCCAACCACAGCCATCTGCTGTAGAGCCTGCCATCCATGTTTTGGGGACGATAAACCAGATTATAATTGGGAGGATCCATGTTTATCAGCAGAAGTGTAAAATTATCCTCAATAATAACGAAATAAGTCATTCAAAATATTCCCTTAAAATATAAATCACAAATAAAACTTGAACAGAGTTTTTCACATACCAATATTTTAATGTGTGACAGACTGGCATCAACTAGTCCACAAATACAATCTCTTATTTCATAGCTGTTAATAATACACACAGTTATAGGAATATTTCAAAGCAATCACAATGCTGAATGATCCACGGTAGGGATAGAGAAAGTTATGTATCATTAGGGAAAACAAATCCTGAATCAGTACACTCATACTAGGCAAAATATGTGTTGAGTCTTCTTAATTCAATGTGTTGCTACTGATAGCACCAATAACATAAAGTGCTATACAGTTCCATGATCTTTGAGAGAAAGCAGACATCTTTAAGACAATATTTGCAACATTTGGCGAACCAAACCAAAACAGTCTAGAGTAGTTTGTTTTTTTATTTGGTTTTAACTATCCCTTTCATAATGAAGCAGTGTTTAAATCTAATACAGTCAGATTGATGTACTGTATATACTGAGTTTGAATGATATGAGAGCAGTGCTGACAGTGTTGAGTCCCCGCTGTCCAGACTTCCTGCTAATTTCCTCTTTCTGTCCATCTTTCCTTCAGGACGACATCCAGATCATCATCAACCAGCAGCTTAAGTCCCAGCACCAGTTGGAGCTTCCTCAGAAGAAGTCCACCTCCAACGGCATGTCCTTCTTCCGCAGGCCCAGCCGGACAACCAACGCCTGGAGTTCAGACGCTAATCAGGGCAAAACACAAACCCCCTGGAGGGACTGGTTAAAACGAGGAAAAGGGACAAATAATGGACAGTGAGCAACACTTACTCCCTGAAGACAAAGGAGAGGATACACAAGGAGGACAGGACAGAGGGAGGTGTAGCTTCAAGTTCATCTTGTGTGGTGAAAAGAAGCCATAAAGACACTTTCAATTTAGTGATGAACAGCAGAGCCACATCGGACAAAGAGTTGCCAGATAGGCACTTACTTACACATTTCAATGAGAGGCTGAGCCTTCGTATAAATCTAAACTGTGACAACCTGGAACACTAATATGTTTCTTTCCCTTACGAATTACATTAGGTTTGCCTGGACTGTAAATATTGTGCCTTTTTTGTATTATTGTAATGATCCCTATGTCTGAGACTTTATATGGTATACATGCAAAGTGTAGATCACTGAGAGTATTTGTTCAGATTATTTAATGTCACTGATCAAAGAGAGAAAAAAGTCAGGAAATAAAAACGAACGGACAATGAATTTACAATGGTGCTGACTTGTGTCTTTACATAGCAAGTTTGATGTGAGAAGTTCCTTTTTTACTGTCGGATGTGCTCTAAAGCTCAATATGTCACAGTTTAATTATATAGGATACACTATGTTTTCATGTACACTGAGTTAGCTGTTGTTTTTATAATTGTTTCTGTTCTATGAATGATTACTTTTGTGGTATGATTCTGTGTGCTGCAAACACAAGTATGATGATTCTGTTTTTCAGTGTTCAATATTAAAGCTGCTCAGTACAGGCTGGGTTGTTTCATACATGTAAACCGTCTTGACTCGCCACATCTGGAATAATGGCCGGATTACTACATAAAACATAACAACATCGTTTCCGGGTTTCTGTTTTTTGTTCAAAAATGTTAATATGATAAACTAAAGAGGGGAGAAAGAAGGGTTTATTACTACTACTATTATTAGTGTTTAAAGTGTTCAACCACGAACAAGAAACAGTACATAGGTCATGATGCTACTTGGAGCTACAATCATTCACTGAAGGTTGACTATTTGTAGTGAAGTAGTTGTTTATCAGTCTTCCAGCCCTGCCCTACTTTGTGTTGTAAGAACATCTGTTCAACAAAACACAATATCATGAGATTTCTTTCTTTTTCTCCTGTTTTAAGTAAAAACACATTTTCACCTGTACAATATCAAATGCAGCACTAGACTCAGGATGACCATAAACTGAAATTGTTTGAAAAATACAAAGATGGTGTCAACATTGTCAAAGTAATTTGTAAAAATACTGGAGGTGCAATATACTGTAGTACATAGCCTATGCCCTGGTTTGTTACCATTTTGAAGTTCACAAAGAAATAAAAAGCCTAGAATGAATTTTAATTCCATTTACACCAAGTATTTCAAAACACTTTCCACACACACACATCTCCTCGGTGATTTTAACATACTTACAAATGCTCAAACATGATACTTTGACTGGTTGTCTCTTAATTGCTTTCATATAAATAATATTTTTTTGTATTTCTTGTGATTTTTTTTTTAAGCAGCATGGGAATAGTCCCAGGATAGGATAGGACTCAATTAATCTAAACTACAGTATATGACGTGCAAGAGGACATTGTTTTCCATGTTCCAAATCAAATACACTGTTTTCATTATTGAAAGAATCAGTCAAAATTATTAGAATATGTGAAAGGAGAATGTGAAATAACAAAAACTAACTAAGTTCACAAATCTGTCAGACGGCCTTTCAGTATGTATTTGACTATTATTATTGTATCTTTATTAGCAAAGGTGGGAAGTAACTAATTTACTCAAGTACTGTACCTAAGTACAACTTTGAGATACTTGTGCTTTACTTGAGTATTTCCATTTTATGTTACTTTGTACTTGTACCCCACTAGAATTCAAAGGTATATCGTGTACTTTCAATCCACTACATTTATTAAATACCTTTAGTTGATTCGGATGAATGATGTGAAATATAATCAATACTTTATTTACACCTGGAGTAAATTCACAATCTACCCTGCAGCATACAAAGTCATTAAAACTATAGCTGCACTTTTAACAGCTTTAATAACACTTTAATGCATCAATACCTATAATCAAAACATACTAAATATATTATTCTGAAATGGACCAATCTGCATAACGAGTACTTTTACTTTTAGTACATATTTGTAATGCTAATACTGTTGTACTTTTAGTAGAGTAACATTTTGAATGCAGGATTTTTACTTGTAACAGAGCATTCATACACTCTGGTACTTCTACTTTTACTCAAGTACAAGATCTGAGTATTTCTCCCATCTCTGTTTATTACAGCTTGATGTTCAACAAGTGAAAGTTTACTATTGTGAGGTCACATCTGCCAATTTCAAGAGGTTTCTGCATGGTATGTTGAGAGACAGTCCGCTGATGCCCTCTGCTGACGGTGAGCACACATCAGACAAACATCACAGAACATGCAGATGATGCAAAGAAAAAAAAAATATATAAAATGATATAATATAATAATGTAAAATGTCTCTAAAACTCACACTTATTTTTCCCTGAATAGAATGCAACCTATTATTTTTATATACACAAGCCAAGTTAAAGTTAGTCAAAATGTTATCCCCAGACCCACAGGCTCTTTAATATTCGACCATGAGGGTTAAGAATGTAAGTTTGTGAATATTACATTAAGAAAAATTAGATAGACCAATTATTGTCATATTCAGCGAAACTAATCAATTCATTTTAGAAGTAGGCTAATATAAAGCGAGGCAGGTTTCAACACTCAAATCCTTGTTTCAGGGTAGCACAATAAATACATATCTAAAACAAAACAGGTAAAAATTAGAATCAATTAAGTAAAGTATTGTAAATTAAATAAAAATAAACGTATACATGCTCTTCAATTATATATTAATGTTGAGTAAAAAGTTACTAAGCAAAGAAGACGCCCCGTCTCATTCTGATGACGTGTACAATTTCAGTTTACCGAGGAGCTGTCTGGTTTCGTAGAGGCGATTTCTTTAATATCAGAAACACGCTTCTTCCCGTCAAACAGGTAGGACAGTCCGCTTCAACGTTTGTATCCATTATACAAACTGAAAATACGCTGAATCCGTGCAACAGTTTATCTTATTGGTGCTGAAATAGAGTCGTGGTGACCCCATGACAGCTTAGCTTGCTAACTAGCTAACCAGCTAACTGATGCAGTACGGTCAGGGCTGCTAGCTTACCCTGCTAGCTGGATGGCTAACTATCGCCAAGTTCAAGCTGCTACTATATGGTTAAACCTGTGACATGACATGAAAAAGCCTAAAAGTGGCTAGTTGTAAAGCTATCTATATAAAGGTACAATGGTTTATAATCGTAAAGTGCTGACTGAGATGATGGGTAACCGTGACAACACGTTGTACCGTAAAGCACTGATCATCATATGTTCTGTGCTCGGTTAGCTGTCAGTGGGAGCTGGTGTCTTTTCATTCCCTTCTCTCTGAATGTCATCACTGAAAGTTTATAATAGCATCAGAGGGAAATGCATAGTGTGTAAGTGCTTAAATCAAGATTGAAACATCTCTGTAATGTATTGTTTGCCTTTTGCCACAGTATATACAATGTGTTTTTAGGCTAAGATGCCTAATAACTCCTGCTAACGAAAGCTAGCCTTTCAGTTGACACTATTATACTTGCATATGTTTGATCCTTGTTTACGTTGCCCCTTTTCAAGTAATGAAATTAAAAAATACCTTGTACAGCATTGTATTGTGACCAGTGTCATAGATATTCATCGAATAGGATGTCCTAATAAGATGCAGGAAATATGACGTACAGAGACAGGAAATGTTTTAAGAAATGCACATATAACCCTCATTTGTTAAAACATGTTAGGTGGTTTGTTGGGGACACAAGTTCCAGTTAATTTGAATGAAGTTTTGATTAAAAAAAAGAAGAAGCTACCAAGCTAGCTGTTAAGGACAAGGTTCAGATGTTGTGCAGTTTTGCATTTGACTGGTGTACAGGTCAAGGTGATAGTGGGACAATGAATAAGATGATGAATTGTAGGGCTGCCCCCACTGTGGTAAACATATTGACTTATTGGTTGTCAAGTCAACTAAGATTTCTTCAGTAGGTTACTCATTTTGATGTTTTTGTTTTTTTAATTGAGGACACTTTTTTTTAAATGACTTGCATATTTCTGTTAAAGTGGTGCTTCTGAATGATTGTTTTGCGGACATCGCAGTTTAAGCTACCTGACAAGAAAAATCAACAAATCTATAAGATGAAAATAAATGTATGAGTATACATAGGAATTTCTTTAGTCAAATACTTTTTTGCGTGTGAGAGAATATACTCTGCATGCTCCTGTATCCCTTGCTCTGTTATTGAATGTCTTTATACTATTGACAGTTTTTGTGTCTGCATCGCTCCTTAAGGCTGGGATCTTGGATGGAGTGAGTGTTGATCCCCAATGAGATGACTGACCAGGGCAACAACAACCAGCATATCTCCCGCAACCCCTTTGCTGCTCTCTTCAGCTCAGTCGCTGATGCCAAGCAATTTGCATCTGGCCAGAAACCCGAACAGTCTGCTGAACCATGTGGGTAGAGTTATTCGAGCAATCTTCTGATGAGACGTATTGTCCGTGTTTTGAGGGATGCATACACATAAACACATTTATAACATAATGTCAGTGAAGTAAAGGTCATGTTAACATCTGGCTCAATTGTATCCACATTGTTTTTCATACCTACCCTCTGTCTCCTGTACAACAGTGGAGGACTCGGGAGAGAGCCATTCAGAGTCAGAAAACTCTGTTTCGGACAGCGTTGATGAAAATGACGATTCCGTGGCAGAGATCAGTCGCTCCTTCCGGTCCCGGCAGGAGCTGTGCGAACAACTCAATGTCAATCACATGATCCAGAGGATATTTCTCATCACTCTGGATAACAGTAAGTAGAAGGAGGAGAGTCATACGTTTTTGATCTGTAATTTATACTCCTTTTAGGGCTGCTCGATTATGGCAAAAATCATAATCTCGATTATTTGGGTCAATAATTGTAATTGCGATTATTAAATGTGATTATTCATTGACTTTGAAAACGTCCATTTATTGGAGAGAAAAAAAGTGAACAGTATGTTTTTAACAGTACTGAACTTTAAGTATAATTCATATATATATATATATTTTTTAAAAATCGTTTTATTTCGTAATCGTTGTTTTCGTAATCGTTGCAAGCCATAATCGTATCGCGATTAAAATACGATTAATTGAGCAGCCCTAACTCCTTTCATAGAGAATATGTGCGTGGGACTAAATTCCATTGACTACATGATGGACACAATAATATGAGACAGCTGTCACTGCCTCAATTCTGCTTGGTACATTTAGCAGAGACTGGTCTGCATTGAAGTTACTGATAAAAAGTGTATTTTGTTGTAAATTAACAACAAAAAGTTTTCCGATTAAATTCCTCCTCTATCAGATTCACTTTTGCTTTTAGATCCCCTTCTCTCTTCTTCTTTTCAAGTTTGCTTTCTCTCACTTTTGGTTTTGCATGATTAAATAACATTTAAATATTATTGTCATGCCAGGAAACGTTCATGTTAGATCCAATCCATATCAGGGTTGTGACCCATATAAATAGACACAACTAGAGTCAGAATAGGGTTACAGATGTAGAAGTAGTTACTAGTACTTTCGGCAATATCACGATAGCAGACTCTAGCTTTATGTTCATAATGAACCAGCAGCTGGGATTTGTTTATCTTGTAGCCCTTTAAAGCCAAAGATGACAGTGTGAAGCCCATGTGAATCTCTGGGGGTGAGACGATGTTGGAGAATCAAGTCAGATAATCCTCATTGACCTTTTTACATTTCCAGTTCATCACGTTTCCCTGCAGTACTTCCTTTTTTGTGGAAGGGACATTAGGCAGACAGACAGGAAGTTGTCTGATCATGTTAAGTCTGCTCTGTTGTCCCCCTGTTATTTCCAGTGCTCTAGCGACTTGGAAGTGTAATTTCCTGTAAGCACTGCAACAAATGACTCATAGTTCTTGACAATACAAAGACCTTGCACACTAAAGTCTTGCTGCTGACTCTCTCGACCACTGAGACCACCTAAGGGTGTGTGATGGTGATGAGGAAATGAATGTTAAAAGTCCCCCTGTTTTCACATTAATAAATTCTGTTGCACCTCAGTTTGAAATAAACCAGTAAAAACATTAATTGCATTTAACCCCCCATGTGTCTTTTTGCCAGTTGCAACAGCATTGCTGGTATTGTTTTCCCTGTGGAGTCTGTTTGTGTCTGTGGACATGTCATTTGGATGTTATGGTCAACTGTTCCTTTAAGCTTCATAGGTTGTTTTGTGTAATATGATTTGTGCAGACTTTATTTTAAGGACCCTGGTTATCACCCTTAGGTGACCCCAGTCTGAGAGGAGGTAATGGGATCCCCCCTCGCTGTGTTTACCTGGAGGAGATGGCTGCAGATCTGGATGAACAGGACTGGCTGGACTCGGATAACATAGAACAGGTCTGACGTCTTTTTGTGTCATCACTCCATTTGTCCCACATCCTGTTTCTACTAAATGTTAAGAACTTCTATCATTTTAGGATGTTTGAAAAATGTATTAGTGAGACTGATTTGTGTCTTTAGGCTCTGTTCAACCGTCTGCTGGTGCTAGAGCCGGGGAACAACCTCATCTACATGACGTCGTGCAGCGCTGTCAACCTGTCAGCTGACCGTGACGCTGGAGACACGAGTGCCATCCGTTACCCTCTTCGCCTGCTACCAGAGGTCCAAAGAAGAGGTGCGAGTTTTTCCTACAGGACTTGTTATCGTAGCACTTTAACTAACCTTTTTCAGAGATTACCAGTTGTAAATATTCTCATTCATTGGAACAGAAAAACAACCCTTTTGCACTATTGTATATGCATTTACTTGCACATCTCACAACATTCTCTTGCACTATTCTATTTCTATTGTTATTTCTTTCACTATTTGTATTGGTTTAATTTCTTTCATGTCCTATATATATTCATGTTGCATTGTTGGAGGAGCCTCGGACTTAAGTCTTTCATTGCCATATCTACACTGTAGCTACTTTGCGCATGACAATAAAGCCTTGAATTGAATTGAATAACCCATGCTCTTTCATAATTTAGTGACTGGATTATCTGTGTATTAGGTGACGAAGGTCCCGGAGAAGTTGCTGTCATTCGCTGTACGTTGTAAGAACCTGACAGTTTCCAACACACGGACAGTTCTGCTCACCCCAGAGATCTACGTCACACAGAACATCTATGAACAGCTTCTGGACTTGTTGCTGGAAGGTTTCCGCGCAGCACGTAGGTTCAGGACTGTTTCTTTCCTGCCTCGGTAAAGCTTTGCCTTGATTCTACTCTTCTCTGTTTCTTACAAAGCCGATGTGTTTCAGAGCCAGAAGAGGTGTTTGAGTTTTTGGAGGAGATCATTGCTGGCCTGCTCTCCGACCAGGAGGTGCGCACCTTTGGGGAGGTTATAGTACCGGTGCTGGATATCTTCCAGGGACGCATCAAAGACCTGGACCTGTGCCAGCCTCTTCTCTACTCCTACCTAGACGTCCTGCTCTACTTCAGCCACCATAAAGATATTGCCAAGGTCAGGAGAAACACACAGATGTTCATACGTTTTATCATAACTTTGACTACTGACAACAACTACAAAGTTCATTGCCCACCACTAATCGAGCAATATACAATAATTCATAGTACATCAAATAATCATATTCAGATAAACAGACATGGCCGAATATTTCACTCAGTTCTTTTTATTTTATTTTAAGGTGTTGGTGGAACACATTCAGCCCAAAGACCCAGCTAATGGTTTGCAGTACCAGAAGACCCTGCTGGGAACAGTGTTGAGTATCTCCTGCTTGTTGAGAACCCCAGGTGTGGTGGAGGGACATGGCTACTTCCTGAACCCCTCCCGCTCCAGTGCCCAGGAGACAAAGGTCCAGGAGGCCAACATCCACCAGGTAAAGAGACTCTCTTCAGCTTGATGTTGCTCCAAACGTCATTGTCTAACGATGTTTACTCTCCTTGTGTTGCAGTTTATGGGTCAGTTTCAGGACAAGCTTCACCAGATTTTGAAAAACCTGCTCCAGCGATCCAGTGAGACGCGTCACTTGCTGCTCTCGTGGTTGGGCGGCTGTCTGCAGGCTAACGCCGGCCGGGCCAAGATATGGGCCAATCAGATGCCAGAGATCTTCTTCCAGATGTACGCTTCAGATGCATTCTTCTTAAACTTGGGTGCAGCACTGCTGAAGCTGTGCCAGCCCTTCTGCCGGCCGCGGTCACCCAAACTCCTGACCTTTAACCCCACCTACTGTGCCCTGAAAGAGCTGAGCGAGGAAGAGAGGCGCAATCGCAATGTGCACGCCAGAGGTTATTACATTTGAAAATTAGCATCAATTTTACCAGTTAAAATACATTATCATCATTTTAAGTATTAGTGCAGCTGCTCTGGTGTTTGTATTGTCTTTATAAATGGGCTCATAGCAGTTTTGATTTATAGCATTTATTATTTTACAATTGTACAAACTACATTTTATGTCTAAATAATCCCCAATCTCTTACGCCAGATCTCGACAAGGAAACCTGTCTGATCCCTTTGCCCCCCCAGCAGCCGGTGGAGTCTGCTCAGTCGTACAGCCTGCTGACCGAAAACCTCATCCTCACACAACTCACCATGCATCTCGGCTTCCACAGGTGCATACCTTCAAAGAACTTTCATAAATAAATAAAGAAACTTCCTGTTTTACATACCCCACAGAAATGTAGCATACCTTATGTTCCTCATATTCACACCATATGTCAGCATTAACCCGTACTGTGTTTTTCTGTTTGTTCTGTGGCGTGCATGTGCAGACTCCACGAGCAGATGGTGAAGATGAACCAGTCTCTCCACCGGCTCCAGGTGACGTGGCAGGACGCCCAGCGATCGGGCAACCCCATGTCGGATCAGCTGCTGGAGCAGTTTGAGCGTCTGATGATTGTTTACCTGTCTACCAAAGCTGCCACCACTCAGCCCGCCATGCTGCAATGCTGCCTTAGCCTCCAAGCTTCCTCGGCTGCGCTGCTCGTTCAGCTGGGTGTGGGGAACCAGGGGCCTGAACATGTAGCACTCAGTTTCCCCCTGCCCCCCCTACAGAACACTGTGCTCTGCTACGTACCAGGTAGGTCAGGTCTCCCACTGCACTACAAACACAGTTGAACATAAAGCCGCTCAATCTTAAGCTTTGATTGATCAGTGGGTTCAAGGGAGGCTGACATTTCATTTCTATACATTTTTCATGCTTAAATCTCATCAGGTTGTTTCATGTTTTTATGTGTTATCTCGTAATTGGAGCATGTTTAAAAGTGTGTTGTGTAAACTTATACTTCAACAAATAATTGATAGAAATCCTTTTCCTATGATATGACGACACCTTGCAACTTGAAATCTTTAAAATTTCACACAGATTTTATTTTAAGATGTATTTCACTGTCGGGTTCAGGCTCAGAAAGAGATGTCAGTTAAAATAATTTAGGACCATTACATTAAAACCTTTAACTCTGCTTATATAATATATATAAGCGTCTTTGAGCATTAGGAAAAGCACTATACAAATCCCATATATTATTATATGCAGGTGATACGTCAATATTTAATTTATAAATGAATGAAACCCTCTTTAATGGTCACACATACATGCACGCAGCATACAAAGTGAAATATGGTCTCTGCTTTTAACCCATCCTAGTACTAGGAGCAGTGGGCAGCTATGTGCATGCAAGGAAGGGATTCATCACTTGTGGTAGAATGATTCATTGATGCTGAACATACCTTTTTATAATAGTCATCACTTCTGTATGCCTGTTCCGACAGAGTTCTTTGCAGAAAACATGGGAGATTTTTTCATCTTCCTGCGTCGATTTGCTGACGATGTTTTGGAGACTTCTGCAGAAAGTCTGGAGCAGATTCTTAACTTCATCACTGTCTTCATGGGAAACATAGAGAGGTACAAAACTACATCTACTATATCAGCGATTGTTGTCAGTTGAAAGGAATAATTGATGTCCAATGGGGTTTGAATGATGCAGACTGCCTTAGAGTGTTTGGCTCAATCCCCTCTGTCCTGCATGCACAACAGGATGAAGAACCCTCATTTAAGAGCAAAGCTGGCGGAGGTCCTAGAGGCGGTGATGCCCCACATGGAGCCGGTGGCTTCTGGTGCTATTCAGCCAATCGTGTTCCAGCGAGAGAGAGCCTTCTGCTCCTATAGACACGCACCTCAGCTGGCCGAGGCCCTCATCTCTGTGTTTGTAGACATCGAGTTCACAGGTATTGTATTCCTCACAATTTTCTATATGCTATCGTCGTAGTGATGCAAGCAGCATCGAACTGTATATAAAGTCCCCTTGAAAAGTCCAGTTCAGGTGCTGTCACAAGTACAATCACCTAGTGAAAATAACTTTATGTAAGGCCGCCTATGATGAAAACGAACATCCAAATGAGAAATTGAAGAAAAAAGAAAGTAGCAATGTTTGATTTCCTTTATTTTTCCTTTTATTAGGTGACCCTCATCAATTTGAACAGAAATTCAACTACAGGAGACCCATGTATCCCATCCTCAAGTACATGTGGACAAAAGAAAGCTACAGAGAGAGTATCAAGGTAAAAAAAAAAACTGGTGACTTTGAGGTTTTCCATCCAAGTAAACTGTTTTCAATGTTTTACATTTTTGTAAAAAAAAAAATGAACGGCCGTACAAAAAGAGGCTCACGTGTTTAATTATTAAATGTATTTGGTGTGTGCTCTCTTAATATCTAATCCTGTCTTAATCATGTTGCATGCTGTTCCAATAGGTAGAAATCAACTTTTAAATCCGTGAGAATGAAATCACCACTCCTGGCTTAATAATGAACATTACAATGTTGGTCAAAGACAAGTATCGGCTGGTCGGCCGCTCCTAGGTGTATTACAGAGTTTACGATGGGGAAACTTCATCAAGAGCAGACCTAGATTTTTGGTGAACAACAAAAAACTCTGCCAAAATGCCAATGTTTCCTCACTCTCATCACCACTCACTCAAATTGTGTCTATTTCTAGAGGAGTAGTAGAGAGGAAAGAAAACGGGCCGGGTAAACTGTCCAGGGTGTCATTTGGTTCCACTCAATGAACGCAAAGATTGGCTTAGGCCTCTTGACTCATGACTCATGACAGAGTGAAGGCAGTAGAGAGTATGAGGGCTGAAACAGGCATCTATGGTTTATCACCAGGGGATTTTATGTATTGGAAAATTGTAGTTTGTCGAGCAGATTGATCTAAATTGGCTCTTTATTAAGTTTGACATCTCTTGTTTCAGCACTTGGCGCACTATGCATCTGAGAACCTGGAGGCCATGAACCCCCCTCTGTTCCTCAGGTTCCTGAACCTCCTGATGAATGATGCCATCTTCCTACTGGATGAGGCTATTCAGGTAAGATAATTCAAACATGCACCACCTGACACCAATATGGCAAATAAACTTGTCCATTACATTACTATTGTGTAGTTTATAGTCAAGTACCATTATGGTTTGTTCGTCTGGTGTTTATTTAATCTTTTGCTGTGCTTACTTTGCATTCATTTTTTGGTAAAGGTCACATTTGCATAAAACACAAAGTACTGTGCACAAGGAGAACATCTGGCACAGAATTAGTCGATGATGGTCATATAAACGTAATTAATGACTTCAGTTTTTCATTAGCTAAAAAAAAAACCTATCTTATCTCATAGTACCTGAGTAAAATCAAGGTCCTTCAGTTGGAGCGGGACAGAGGGGAGTGGGAGGGCCTGGCCCCCGATGCCCGGAGAGAGAAGGAATCGAGCCTGCAGATGTTGGGACAGCTGGGACGCTTCCACAACATCATGTCTAATGAGACCATCGGCACCCTGGCCTTCCTCACATCAGGTCAGAAAACACTTGATTCTTCATGTTGATTCATCCATTTAAAGTTTGTCTTCCCCCCTCCCTTGTGTGTTTTGCTTTTAACAAAGTTCTCTTTTCCAGACATCAAGGGGATCTTCGTGCATCCCTTCCTGGCTGAGAGGATCATCTCCATGCTGAATTATTTTCTGCAGCACTTAGTGGGCCCTAAGATGGGGGCCCTTAAAGTCAAGGACTTCAGTGAGTTTGACTTCAAGCCCCAGCAGCTTGTTTCTGACATCTGCACCATCTACCTGAATCTGGGGTATGTAGTAAACACTGAACATATTCTCTTGTTTTCTGACGTTATCTTATTGGTGCTATATCCTCTGAAGATGAAATACAGTGATCATTATTGTGGTCCAATTAATTTGTAAATACAATTTTGTTTCTGTCTTTGGCAGTGATGAGGAGAATTTCTGTGCTACAGTCCCAAAGGATGGACGATCGTACTCTGCCGCCCTCTTCTCCCAAACAGTGAGGGTGCTGAAGAAGATAAACAAGCCTGGGGACATGATCGTGGCGTTTGGACTCCTTGCTGATAAAATAAAGGTATCTTTTGTCTTGCAGGGTTCCCCCAGATCCTGGAAAAACGATTGCCCAATTCTCAGTCATTGAAAACGTCCAGGAAAATTATTTCAAAATTCTCCTATTTTTAGCTTATCATTTATTAATGACTGCCAAGGGTTAGAAAGCAATAAGATTTCCATCTTAATGGTCTAGGTCAGGGGTAGCCAACACGGTGCCGCGGGCACTTAGTCGCCCGCAGGGGCAACGTGAGTCGCCTGCGGGGCATGTTCTAAAAATAGCTCGCCAAGCAAATCCAAAATGTATAAAATACACAAAACAAAAAAGGAAATGTAATTAAAAGAATCTACCCTATGCATAAACGAAACCTAAATCATAGCGAACTCTATCTACTTACTACAACTCTATATCTATCTAACACCCCTCCTCCCCCCACCCCCACAATGAATATCGACCAATCGCGTTCTTGCTTGATTTGCGGAACCAGCGTTGCAGTCGGGAAGAAAAACAATGTGGCACCTCCACGCTGATTTTCCTTCTGGCAGAATCTACACAACACATCAGCCCCATTAAACACAGCCTAGTCATGCCAGCCTATACTGCACATGAGGGGCAGAGTTTTACTGTGTGTGTTGCAACTTGCATATATATTTATTCCACTTGACGCACACACACGCATGGCGTAATTTCCACTGGGGACAGGGGGGACATGTCCCCCGCTCGTTTCGAAATCCCGTTTGTGTCCCCCCACTTTACAAATATGTTTATTATTATTTTTTAACGCAAGCTGTCATCGCCACGGAGGAGCACACAGCCTCTGTGAGCGAGCGAGACAGAGAGAGAGCGAGCGAGCGCGAGAGCTAGGGAGGGAGAGAGAGAGCGAGAGAGCTAGGGAGAGCACACCTTTATCTATTTAATATAGATAAAGTAAGAAATCATTCCAATGTGTACTATAGTACAGTAAAAAAACAGTTTAAAAGAGGAGTGATTAGTCAAATATGCATAAAGAAAAAGAAAGAATGCTAACTAGGTAACATAAGATAAGAATAAACAAGTTTAAATGATTTGTTATTGGTTGTGATCATATTCTAAAGATGTTTGGATTATTGAAAAGTATACAGCTCCCTTTCATCTGAGAGTTGAGAGCTGTATCCATAAATTCATGTTGTGCTCAAAGTGCACCAGATTGATGCATTTAACTTCAACATTGGAAAAAACATCTTCCCGGGGAGCATGCCCCCGGACCCCACTAGAGGAGGTGAGGCCCGTCCACCCCCAAATAAAGCAGGTTAAAATAATTACATTGAATACATGTTCTTTTAGTAAACACTGCAAACGGGTCCCACAGACCCAAACAGCACACAAAGGTTAAAGGTCAGCATATAATAATGTTATAAGTCATGCAGGTTGGATGACATTACAAGACGTGCTTTCTTTCTAACTTGTTTTAAACTGTTAAATTGTTAAGCATGTACTGTATGGTTCAGTTGTTTAGTTTAGCTGCTTGCTACTTGTTTAGTATGTAATAGTTTTAGTTTCGTCATTAATCTCTGGCTGGGAGAATTGGTTTCAAATGTGGGTTAGGCCTCGGTCACAACAATGAATTTGACGTCCACAGAGAGGAACAGGTTAGTGTATGGCGTGTTCAGTGTCACTGCATCACTGCAAGTGGCCTGGAAAATAATGTCTAGAAAAAGATTGGGAACCCAGACTTAGAAGCTTTTTTAGGGATCTTTGACCTGTTCTCTGTGGTAAAGAGAGGTTAAAACACACAAAGGATTCATTGTCATTGCACCTCTCCTTTAGCCCCATGCAGACAGACAGCAGCAGGAAGAGGAGACGTATGCAGATGCCCCGGATGAGTTCCTGGATCCCATCATGTCCACTCTGATGCTCGACCCGGTCCTCCTCCCTTCCTCCAGTGTCACAGTTGACCGCTCAACTATAGCAAGGCATCTCCTCAGGTAGGGTACTTCCTAAAAGCACTAGAGTTACCTGAAATAATTGTTTCTTTCTGTATGCAGCAAAATTGGTACTGTACATCTTGTCTTTATTGTAATCTGATCACTTTTAACCATCACAATAGACTTGAAGGGAAAGCTTGGTGCGCAGAAGTAACCATTAATTTATACACATATGTCTTCCTCGTAGTGACCAGACAGACCCTTTCAACCGCAGTCCTCTGACCATGGACCAGATCAGGCCAAACGAGGAACTCAAGCAGCAGATCTTACAGTGGCTGGATAAGCATAAGCAGGAGAGGCAGCAGCTGGGACCCAGTGGCTAGCCGCGAATCCTCGCTGTGATAAACAATGACTGCATCCCTGTTTTCTTTCACAGCTTACATCTAGCGTGCTCCTCTGCTTCTTGTCTAATCCATGGTGTGCTTGCCTCTGTGGATTTCTTCAGACTAACATTGCATTAGCCTTTACATGCAGACTTCACGCTCCGTGGATTCCCTCTGGGAAAAACTGTCCAGGCAAAACTGTAGCCCACAGGCTGGTGACGACTTCAAAATCCATACCAACCCACACAGTAGCTGTTTGAGTCCCATGATGCCCCGTGGTACCATGATGCACCCGCTGGTCTCTCTCCCTGAATACTGTGTATTAATTAGCTCATTATTACAATCAGAACTGTGGCCAGAAGCATCAGTTTCAACAGGACTTGTTGAATGTACTGAATGAACTCCTGACTGACCAGCCGGCCCAAACCAGATTTTATACTGCAAGGTGAGTATTTTGGGGAACTGTTAAAGCAGAACATGGAGGAAATGGTTAGGATTTAACTTCATGAAAGAGAAAACACTGCCTCTTAAAGTTCTTGAACACCCAACGTTTCAGCATATTAGGTTAAGTCTCAAGCGGAATTGTAAATAAAATGAGCAATTAAAGGCAACAGCAAAGGTAAAACTGAAGTTGATGTGTGTGACTTTTATTTTAGTGGAGATAATCTACATTTAGATGGAGATGTTTAAAATAATTGTCACTATTATAAGCATACTGAAGCATAAAACCATACAGACTACACTTTTTCTGTATTTTAACCTTTATATTTAAGTGTTAAGTCCACCTGCCTTTAATTAAGTAGTAATGACAGAACTCATTAGGGTCTGAGTCTGAGAGCTTGTTTACTAATAGGTTGTTGGATAAGGATTTAAACTGTGTTTAACTTACTACTCAGTAATAACACTAATCTAAAACCTATTTTCTATTGGGGGCCAGTCTTAACTAAAATCCCATATTAAAATCAGTTAATGGTTGAGCATGGCTTTGGTAGCCTTGCTAGGTATACTCAAAGTGGTTAAAAAAGTAATACTAATGAACAGTGGTGTGATGGCCACCCAAATCAAATGTGTTTCGTCCTTGGAAAATAGATTTTTACTCACAACTTGTAATAAAAAATGTCTCAGACTTTAGAAAACTCCTTTCAGAGCAACAGTAGAAATAATACAATTAATTTCACTGAGTACTTTTTATGACATTACACTCAAATCTCTGAAGTGCCACTTTGAGACACACAGCAGTTATAAAAAAACAAAATAACTGCTCTTGGCACAAAAAGCAGTCGCAGAAACATGATAAAAATACATCGAGACTAGTTTAAAAAAAATTGAGACACGGCAAGTCTCAACATTTGCTGATCTTGCTTCACAGGGGGCGAAACATACATTTATGAAATGTTATTTGGCTAGTTTATCATAAAAATGTTTAAAGATCACAATATTTTATAAATAAACTCAAACCTTAATTTTGTTGATTTTAAGGTCTTACTGTACAATGATCACATTTTTGGATCAAAACATAATAGAAAAGCTAAATTATAGGGTGTTCAATAATTTTTGACTGGCAGTGTATTTATTAATAATTTTCACTCTTTGATTAAACATTCACCAGATTAACTGATGTATCCTAATCTTGTATTTTGAACTAATTTACTGATTTATTTTAACATATGGGCAAACAAATGATCAATGGGTCAAGAACAGATTGGTGCCTACAATCAAGAGCCTTGCAGTTAATGTCAGTGAATGAGGATCTGACTTATTTCATACTAAAGAGAAATAATGATGAGTTTGTTTCTTTAGGGCGTTACAGGGAGCTATGGGTAGAATATAAGAGAAGGATCAGAATAAGATGACTCTTTTTTTAGTAGCTTTTTCAATTAAAGAGTTTTAATTCAAAATCGAGTGTGGTTGAAAAAAATGGCAAAAAGTGAGAAAGATGATGTATTAGTTGGCATGCCCTCATACTGTATGTTGAATATCTACCACCTGAATGATTACATGGGTTAAATTATAATGCAATATTTTTGTTTTAATTGTGATTATAAAATGTTTATTTTGGATGTACATTATGATTAATAAATAAAACTAATATGCGTTATATAACACATTGTAATGTTCTCCTTCAGATATATGACAAGAGTTAAGTACATTGCAACATGTAAAATGTGTGTTTTGCTATTGGACCACCACAAATAGGGAATGTACAACAAATAAATAGAAGTTTAACTCAAAAGACCACTTTAAATATAGATTATAGTATATTATGTAAATGCCGCATGTTTAAGAACAAGCTTGAGGTACATTTATCTCAAGGACAATATGAATATGAGAATATTTTATTTTCCGTCAATAACTGGGTCTCAGGTTTGAGGGTCCTTAACATTCTTTATAATGTCTCCAGGCTATTTCCAAACAGTAGGCTATAGTAGTGGTGACTATATGTCAGGAAATGTAAGCAGGTATGTGTGACATTTTTGAGAGCCAGAACCCCCCTTGTTCTCTATGTACTAACAATTCTCACATCTTTAAGAGCTCAAAGCCTCAAACTAATTTGTTTTGAGACACTCAAGCTCCTATAATAGTGCTTGGAGCTGCTCCTGGTTGTAACTTGCACATAGTTAACATCATAAACTTTAACATTTAACCTAACAATCCCTATTAATGAGAATCTAGAAGCACTTTCAGCTTGTAGGTATTGCACATTTGTTATTGGATTGTCCACTCGATACAGTCCACTTTTGATTGGAAATAAAAATAAAAAAAAGCTTTAGGTGGCATTTCCAGATGCATACAGAAGATCGCTAAAGCTCCTCAAGTGCTCACTCATTGTATGTTTGTGACTATATTATTCCCACCTTTTAGTCCTTGCTGAGGAATTTCATGTACAAATGAATGTGATTATTAATATATTGAAAAATGTAATGACCCTAACTAAGTTTACGAGAGGGACCCAGTATGGCTCTTCTATTAGAAACATTGAAACTAATGTATTTAACGCATGTGTCACTGTGGATGTGTAATCTGCAATTATTTTTTAATCAGTGTTGTTTTTATTATCAATTGTATACTGATATTGAGCTATAGGCCATGTCAGAAATGAAGTTCAATTGAATTAAGACTTTGTGAAGGATCACACCTGATGAGAGGCTGATCATGTCCAAAAACCCTACAGCTGGCAGGTGGCTGCAGCACCAGGGACAGGGTACATAACTTTTCTAGCTTCAAGCATTTCAGAGCAGTTTTAAAAGAGAGAAAACATTTATTCTAAAAAATACCAAGTATTGTGGTGTTTAAGGGATTGGAGGAACAGAGCAACACTCTTCAATGGGATGAAGGATTTATTGCAACGCCCCTGATTGATTAATTTACAGGTAACTATTATAATGAATAGGCTACTATTGTTTTCTTCTGTTGTGGTTTGTATTGAAGTTTGTCTGAAGCTTATGAAAGTCCTTTTTTAGGAAACAAAATAGTAAGCCAACGGTCTTGTTCTTGCTTGCGATTCAAGTGCGAGGCTCCTTTCCCGGGCAAAGCCCCTGAACCTGATTTGGATTCAGCCATGCAGAGTCTGAACAGGGCCGCTGAGAAAATGCATTGTCGGGGTTACTTCAGTTCCGCCCCGCAACCTGCATAACGACGTGTCGGCCAGTGAGAGCGCAGCGCTGTGGTAGAGGTTGTTTATGTGGAGTGCTGGGTTAGGGTTCCGCCCACCGAGGTATCTCTGATCGCAGGGCAGACAGGCAGAGAGTGTAAAATGGCGCACAGCTGTCGGTGGCGGTTCCCCGCTCGGCCCGGAGGGAGCTGCAACTCCGGTACCGGGAGGAGAGCGGGCCGAATTAGGGTTACTGCCTCTCTGCGAAATGTCTCTGGAGCCCACCCTATCGCAGCTGGGCTCGGACCCGGGTTTGATGCTGCACTACAGGTCTCTTCGGTTATCGGGAGCAACCTGCAGAAATTTCGGGATGTTTTGGGGGAATCGAGTGACTCGAGCAGCGGGGAGGTAAGCACAGCACCGGACAGCATCATTGTAACCCGGGAGCATCGGTTAGACCAATGCCGGCCACGGGTAATACGGAGAGCCCGTTTCAGATGAACGGCTAACGGTTACTCTGCCCAACCGTTTACCATATTTTCCTCCTCATAACGTTAAGTGTGACTGTAAGCAAACTTGTCATTTCCAGGATGCTCAGTTAACTTTGAGTTGGTTGTTTGGCCTTAAACTCTACAGTAAGGCGTTATTACGTTGACTTTGGTTTTAAACAACACAAACACCCAATGTTTCTCAGATTTATAGTCACAACGGTCCTACTGGAAATAAAGTTTTCTTCCCCTCAGAGGAGTGTGAGGACAGGCTACATCCACACAGCTTGTTGGACTGGTGCTAACGTTGGTCTGCTAACCCGACCAAAACACTGTAGAGAAACACTGGTGTAATTTAGTTAATTAAAACATGCAATACAATAAACACCTAACCCTTTATAGGCGATATTTATATGACTAACACAGTATGCAACTGAGCTGTACAAATGGTATAATAGTTAGCTTCTTGACATTAGCTTGACGTGAAGCCTTTAAGGCTGAGCATGTTCCCTTCTAATTCATGTACATCAACACAGTGAAAGTTATCATCAGTTAGCATTAATATTATTTTTTACAGTGAAATATGAAATAAACATCGGTGAATGTTTGTAATAACGAGGGTTCATTGTGGTGTTATAGCATGGGTCCTTCAAGATAACCTGTAATGTGTTTGAAAACAAGAGATGTCAACTTTAAGGAGGTCCACAATTGTGGTTTGTAACAAGCTAACGTGAACTTAGCGTCTGTCTGCAACCTAACCCCTGAAAGGGTTTTTAATTAACCACTTTACCTGTTAGGGTTTTCATATAGGGCATTTTTGCCCAAAAAAAATCTTAATATTTACAACAAGACCTCGAATGCTGGCTGTTTGCATTGAGGTGTCAACCTTATAGCAATGCTTGGCTAACATAGCTGATTGGTTAGCTCGCAGGCTAGCTGTCTACTAACAGCTAATACTACACCATTATTATCATGTCGTAAGCGGTGTTAAAGTTGCAGGTTTGCTCGGGAGGTTGTTGTGTTTACCTCCGGTCAGCATTATGCTACGTATCGGGTTAATACATACTAGCCAAAGTTGGCGGATATCATGCACAAAACTAAATCATTACCATTGCTGTTTGGTGTTAAGCTAGGACAGCTACCATGCTACGCACTCCGCCACGCTAGCCATCGGGGCTATTGCTGATGCATAGGAAAATGGGAGGTGGACATGTTTTCCCCTTCTCTACACAGCCAGTACTGAGCTATTACCAAAAATAATATCGGTTTTTATCATGCTTGGAGAAGCCGTCTGATACACAGCCACATCTCAAAATCACTCTCCTCTGTGTTCCAATGCCTTACTAAGAGTGTATCGTCAGGGTTTGGTGTGTGATTCGTCTCGTTTTTATTAGAGAAACGATACTTTCTAGTGACAGAGCGTGTGCAGGGCTGCCTACAATAACAACGAGCCCCTTCTTGACGGGCCGTGTGATGTGGGGGTGTGTTCGCCTTAGCGAACTACCATCTTCCTCTTCCATGATGAGCAGCATGCGTTCATTGCAGTGGGAGTACACTGTGTGGGGATGTTTACCAGTAGCTCCACTGCTCCACAGACGGCTTATTTGGTTGTAGCACAGCAGTATTTACATGCTTTCTAGTTAGATATTCCGTTTTCTTATTCTGAACTTTAGAAAACATGTGTGCATATATTTTTGAATAGTTATAATGAGAATATAATAAGTCATTGTATAGCTCGGCAGCAGAATATTTACATATATTTTTGGATGTATTTTATAAAATAGTATTTTACACTATGCATGCAATAGAAACATGATTTATTTGTTATAAAATATAATATATGTGAGCAAATAACTTATTAGGTAACTATGTCAATAAAGACAATATATCCGTATTTGGATGTAGGCACTGGCAGACTGGACCAATACATCTATGGAACTTGTATTATATAGGCCCATGCAGATTGTGGACAAAGCATGTTGATTTAGTTTACATAAGTTTGACTTAAAATATCAATTGTGTGTTAAAATAAACTTCTTTGAAAGACTGAAAATGAGTGAGATTAACAGTATTTGGATTGTGTGTACACAAAGACATTACAATCCAGTGCAACTTCAATGATATAAACATTTCAGACACAGCATGTGGATTTCCTTGATTTTTTTACATGCATGTGTGTTTTACATCCCATGATATTTCAGATAAACATTAATGTTACGTGAAACATCACCTGTTTAATGAATTGCTTTTTAAGTTTCTAAAGAGTCCTGCCTTTCCATCCTGCAGTGAATGAGAGTTAAGCAGTATTTTGGATGTAAGGAGACAGACTGGGCCATTGAATCCCCATGGAACCTGAAACCTATGGGAGTTGCAGACACAGCATGGTGATTTTATTGATGGGCAGTGTGGTGTCTGTCTGACCAGAGCAGAGCAGGATTGTTCAGGCTCACTGCAGCCTGCTGAGCCCACAGGGCGACCCTGAACAGAGCGCCAGCCGGACACTTGGCCACCCCTCCTTCTTCCATGCAGGAAGAAAGACCCAAATCCACTTCAGACAAACGCAACCCCGTCTGAGAGGCAGAGCAACTTTTCTTCTGACAGCTGCCACTTTGGAATGGATTACTAAGCCTATTGGGGTGGCTCAAAGGGGTGCTTGTCGGCTGTAGCTGTCTAAATGAAGGCATTTGTTAGCTTTTGTATGTGTGTAGGGAATTCATTTTCTTGATCCGGCCAAATTGGCGTTGCTTTTTTTTGGTGCTGCGTGAAGTCCATGTCGATTTTTTTTGCAAATGTGACCTTATCACCCCTACCATCAAAACCTCAACTCCCACTCACTGTCCACCTCATCAGAGTTTTCCTCATTTTCCCTTTTTGTTCTTGGTCCATTAAATCATGCCTTCTGCTGCATGTATTCCACTCACAGATTATTACCAATGTTTAATCGCTCATACAAAAGTGCTGCTGAATAGATGGTTAAACCCAATCATCTCTGTGCCTCACTGGTTTGAGAGAAATAGTGTGTT